TTGGGGAGGTAAATACAAAGCCTTAATTCCAACTTTGAAACAAGACTCTGAAACAAAGATCTGCTAGGCAAGAGTTATAAAAGAATTCTGACCAAGAGGACAAATACAGTAATATAGTAAGAAAATAAACCCTGTGTTGTATGCACGTGTTGAAAATGGAAGATGCTCGAAGCTGGGACTTTTTGCTTTAGGGCTGTAACAATAGAAGTAGAATCACAACTGTAATGAGTTCTTACTGTTTGCCAAGAATAATGCTAAGTATTTTATAAACATTCAATTCTTCCAACAAATCCATAAAATTAATTATTATTATCAATCCCCCCTTTAAATGTGAGGAAATGGAAGTTTATAGTGTTTAACTGGCTCAAGTTCACTCTGCTAGTAAATGACAGAACAAAGATTAGGACTCGGATGTGTCTGAATTCCAAGCTTATGTTCTTAATCACTGTACCATACAGCTGCCCCGGTATTACAATTACCAAGAGTATAGCAGCAGAAATGCTAATAGTCCCTTATATATATGTATAGAGCTGCATGGATTATCAAGTAGTTTTACCTACATTTAGTGCTTGATTCTCATAACTACCTGCTGACACAGATGAGGAAGGTTATGAGTGTGGCTTTTACAGAAAAAACAAGACTCTGAGAAACTACTTTAACAAGGCCGTCTTGTTAAAGAATCCACAAGAACCCACATCTTCAGACTTCTTGTCCAATGTTCTTTTAGCACTCTTGTTCACTATGCCGGCACACAACTGCATGACGGGATTTTGTTCTCTGCTATATCCTTGGTGTCTAAAACAGTATCTGACACACAATAAGGGCTGAATAAATATTTGCTCACTAAAGGAATGAATATAAGATCCCATTAGTGTATAATAATAGTGCTGTTCACTATGCTAACTGTTATCAGGTCCAACTTACTAATGATAAGGTTATATTTCATCTGTTTGGTGATGATTTAAAAAATTTTTTTTAACATTTATTTATTTTTGAGACAGAGAGAGACAGAGCATGAACAGGGGAGGGGCAGAGAGAGAGGGAGACACAGAATCTGAAACAGGCTCCAGGCTCTGAGCTGTCAGCACAGAGCCCGACGCGGGGCTCGAACCCACGGACCGTGAGATCGTGACCTGAGCCGAAGTTGGACGCTTAATCGACTGAGCCACCCAGGCGCCCCTGTTTGGTGATGATTTAAATGAGTGAGCGCTTTCAGCGGTATGTCACACGAGTCATGCTTGAGTACTTACTAAAAACAGCTGAGGAGGGGAAAATGCATAGTGACAGGGTCACAAAATCGAGAGGGAAGGGGTAAGGAAGCAGGCAGGAGAGCAGAGACACCTCTAGACTTTACTGGCCACCCGGAGCAGGGCTATCACTCACCATTTGGTGGCAGTTTTTGGAGGCCAACAGTCTACAGAAAAACTAAAAAAAAACCCCTCTTTATAATTCAATTCATATATTCAATTATAATATAATAAAATGTATTTTTTACTGGTGACTAAATGATTAGAGCCATTTCTGTGGTTAGCATAGTTAAGAAAATGAAAAGCATAGCTAATTTGTATAATATACTTAAAAATTGAGTTAAATATACTTAAAATATTTGAACAAACAGTTCACATTAATTGAGCATTTACTCTGCACCATGAGCTGTACTAAATGCTGTGTGTGTGGTGGGGGGATGTGTATTTTTATATATATATAACTTCCTTAGCTCTTTACAAGTCTATGAATGTTTGGTAGTAATACCTCCAGGTACAGATGAGGAAGCTGATGTTGAATAACATACCTCCCTCTGGGCATTTGGATATAGTATTTAGCCTCTCCAGACCCCACCCTCTTCTTCTGTAATGTAGAAATAATAATGCTGTCTCTCAGAGGACTGGATGTAAGTGGGATAGGAGATCACATTTTGAAGGCCTTTAAGACAGTGTTTGACACAGTAGACTCAAGATTCAATCATCCCCTTAAAATTCAGTTCCAAAGTGATTTTTTAAAAGTTTATTTATTTATTTTGGGAGGGAGGGAGGGAGGGAGAGAGAGAGAAGAAGAGAAAGAAAGAGAGAGGGAGAGAACACGAGCAGGGAAGGGGGCAGAGAGAGAGAGGGAGAGAGAAAATCCCAAGTGGGCTCTGTGTCCCATGCAGGGCTTGATCTCACCAACTGTGAGATGACCTGAGCCGAAATCAGGAATCAGATGCTTAACCCACTGAGCCACTCACCGGGTGCCCTCAAGGGGATATTTTGATGGGAACATTCATAACTAACAATACTCTAGAAAAAAAAAATTATTCTAAAATATGATTCCCCTTATTGCCCCCACTCCCTCCAAAAGATTTATATGGCGTTCTGTAAAGATGAAAATATTAGGAATTAAGTACTAGCATTTATTGAGTAGCTACTGTGTGTCAGGCACAAGATATGTCTTATTTAATCCTAACAATCCTATGAGGCGAAACTATTGTTACCTCCCTACATAGAAATAAAGGGAGGACAGAAGAGGTGCTCTAACTATCCAAGGCCAGGTGTCTAGAATAGTTACACTAGGATTTGAACTGAAGAGTATGGCTCTGGTCCTTCCTTTCTACCAACATGCTAGCTGCCTTAGGTCTTAGAGTGAAAATACCCATTTCTGGCAAGCTTTGGCTACATGGCAATTGGTAGAGAGTCAATACCTATCAATACAATCTTTTATGATAGAAATTGGTCAATATAAGTAAAGATTTTGAACATATTATACAGCTTATGACTCAGCAAATGTACACTGGGGGAAATCTATGCTATAGAAATAAAGGCACCGTTACCTAATAATTCTCTCTCTCACACATACACACTCACAATGTTTATTTTGGTATCCTTTTACTGGCCAAGCCTTGGAAAATCATCTTGACATCTGTCAGTTGGAAATAATAGAGTATACCAAAATACGGCCATGATATTAAGCAAAAAAATAATTTTTTAATGAATTGAATCTATACCAGAAGCATGTATAGTATGCATTTCAGATGTAACCTATCTAAAATCAACCTCTTAATTTCCACTTCTCTGCTGAAGAGCAGCTATTCTTCAAGAGACTAATAAAAGGCACCACCACCAAAAATCTAGGTTTGTGCATGAGTCTCTGGTTCTCCTCAGCTTCCACATTTAATCAATCAAGTCTGATTCACCATCTAAAACTCCAAAAATCCACTCACTTTTCTTTGCCTCCAATACCAAACTACTGTCTGCATCTAACTGCAATCAGGTCTCACGGTGTCTGATGTCTTTTGGCATATTACTTTTACTTTCCCGTAGTCCATTCTCTACCCCGTGGACTGTACATCAAGTCGTTTCATTCCCCCATCACAAACCCTGCAGTGGCTTCCAGCGCACATAGGATAAAACCCAAACTTCTCACTCTGACTCACAAAGCTCTTGCCCCATACCAGTCTCCAGGCTCCCAATACGCCTCCAGCCATATCCCTCAAATGCTCCAGCTCATTCTCACTTGAGAGTTATTTCTGTTCCCTCTGCAAAGAAAGCTCTCCCCCTTTATCTTTGTGTTTGGCTCCTTCTTATCATTTTGACCTCATTTACATTTCCCCTGTCCAAGAGGACTACCCTGACACTAACCAAAGTGTTACTTTGGATCACAAGCTACTTTCCTTATTTTAATTCTCTCCAAGTCACAGACCACTGTTGATAATTCTCTTGGTGTATTTATTCATTAATTTCCTTATTAGAATGTAAGCTGAACCACAGCAAGGAGCCTTCTGTTTTATTCACACCTATGTCTCTAACACCCAAGACCATTTGATGCATAATATGCACTCCTCGAATGCTGGCTGAATGAAAAGAATGTGTACTGTACAATCAGGTTTTAACTAAAAGAGACACTACTCACATATAGCTGTTTATTTTTGTGTTAGAAGAAAAGGAGAAAATATGGAAAGATACTAAACAGTAAATATTAACTTCCTTGGGGAGGTAGGGAAAGGAAAATTAACTTTTTCTTCTAGTAACTCTGTATGGTTTGACTAGTTACAATAAGTATTTTTTTTTTCTTTTTGGAATTAAAAAATAAAAAAAATGTAAAGAGAATGTAATGTTCCCTCAGCTGAGGAGACACTTGATTATATAGCTAGTTAGCTATCTAATGTACATCTATCTGTCTACTTCTAGAAGCAGATCAGCAGATCAATGTGATGGCAATCTTGTACTAGTAATTTCTCCATTAACAGATTAGTTATTTAAAGATACTTCTGATCATAGGTATTAAAGTATTTCAAAAACATAAAGAAAGAGGTACTGACAGCTACCAGAGGGGAGGGGGTGTGAGGATGGAGGACAGGTGATGGGGATTAAGGAGGGCACTTGTTGTGATGAGTGGCTGGTGTGGTACGGAAGTGTTGAATCACTAACTTGTACACGTGACACTAACACTACACTGTAGGTTAACTAGCTGGAATTTATTTAAAAAAAAATTTTTTTTTAACGTTTATTTATTTTTGAGACAGAGAGAGACAGAGCATGAACAGGGGAGGGGAGGGCAGAGAGAGGGGAGACACAAAATCGGAAGCAGGCTCCAGGCTCTGAGCCATCAGCCCAGAGCCCGACACGGGGCTCGAACTCACGGACCGTGAGATCGTGACCTGAGCCGAAGTCGGACGCTTAACTGACTGAGCCACCCAGGCGCCCCTGACTAGCTGGAATTTAAATAAAAACTCAAAAAAAATCATTTTTCCAATAAATTTTGAAATGCTCTGTTAGGACAAATTATAGATCTGGAAGAAACTTGAAGGAACTTTGAGGAAAGCAATACTTACATGTTAAGTTCTAATGTCTTTGATATTACTTTATAATCATACCTCAAATACTTTCTAATTAGGGAAATTTCCTATTTAGCACATTCCATGAATTTTGAATATCAGGTACTGACAATCAAAAATGCTAGAATTGGAAAAAATAATCATGACAGATCCATCTAAGTCACGGCAAACTCATTAGGAGCCATTTTACCTCAACAGAAGATGGGTAACTTGATGGTAATGGAAATGGAGCAACGGCCATCTGATTGACTGCATCTTCATTTCTGTGGATATGAAAATAGGCAGAATCAGCACACACCAAATGCTAAGTTTCTGGCTCAAGATACAACCATTTCCTCTGTTGAAAATGCATACACAGCACCTTAGAATAAAAAATATGTACAGATGTATACTGGTTTTAAGCATGCAAACCTATTAAGCACAAAAAGGGATGTATTACCCCAGGGACAGTAAGATGTGATTATTAGTGACAGAAAATGATGATGTTAGGGGTTAGCTAGATCCTGCTTACTAAGTCAGGATCATTTTGGAAAGACATCAACTCTTTCAGCACTGTTGAGTGTAAGTTTTTTGAATGGCCGTGTGTAACCTCTAGGCCCATTAATATCCAGACCATTTTGTTCTTTGAACTGGAAAGGTTCCCGGCTCCCTCACTTGGCTTCTAACTTTGTTATGCCAAATGAAGGTCGATGGGATGTGTATGACAGGCCCTGCATGGGTGGGCACTGTGAGGAGGAGTGATGGATGGGGAGAGCAGAGATCCAGACAAATGTGGGTCAATCCCACTCCTCATCCTAATGGGAGCAGAGAAGGTGGGAGCTAAAACTTCATCACCAGCGTCACAGGTACAGAACAACTCCTAGAATACCAGTTCTGATTATTTGGGCCCATTTCCATGACATTACCAGCAAATGATAGGTGGTGATTTCGTGGGAGATTTAACCTTTACTATTCATTCATGATGCATAACCAGTAATAATTATCTCAAGATTTATGTGAAGTTTGACTTTAGGTTTCACAACATAAACCAAGGAAGATCACAAAAACGCTTCTTCCTGGTATGTAAAGCTCTAAGACTGTTCACGGATCTCTCTCCATATGACCAGTATATCCAGGATAGCCACTACCTGACTTGGTATGGTATTCAAAATCCAAACCCAATGTATTTTTTACTTCTCACCAATAGGAAAAATACATTGGTCCATGCCATTCCTGCTTTGGTGCTTTAATCATATCACTGCATTTACCTGAATTGTCTTTATTAAATTTCTAATCCACCCATCCTTCTCCTCCAGTGTGAGTTCAATAACCTCAATTAAGTGAATTATTCCCTTATGTTAAAAGACTATCTCTATATTGATGTCTTCCAAATTCATATGGTTAGCCCAGGTCTTTTTCTGAGCTTAATATCTGCATATCTAACTCCTACTTTATATTTCCACTGGATGTCTTACAAACATCTCAAATAAAATAGATCTCTTTATCCCACTAGTCGCCAGAGGGTTCCATGATCAATCCTCCTCACTTGAGTAAATATTAACAAGGTCTGCCCCACTGTTCAACCAGGAACTGGGGAGTCATTCTTGAAACCTCTAACCCCTCAGCTGTATATCCAATCAAGAAGCCTTGTTAATTCTACCTTCAAAATGTATCTTGAGTCCTTCCACTATTATCATTTCTTACCAGAGTTAACGGTAAGAGCATCCTATTTCTCCAGTCTATTCTTCACCCAGCAGCGTTATTATGGTTCTAATACATAAATCTGGTTATATTTCTATCCCCTGCTTAAAATACCCCTATGACTTATTATACTTAGGATCAAGTCCACAATTGTTAGGGAGGCTGTAAGGCCTTGAGCAATCTGTCTCAGCCTCCATCTCTGGCTTGTTCTCTCTTCTCCTGGTTCACTTGGCTCTAGTCTAGTTACATGAGCTTTCTTCCCATTTCTCAGCTGAGCCAAGCTCCATCCACCTCAGGGTACTAGCTAGCCCTATTCTCTTCCGCTCTGCTCAGCCATTGCCCAAATCCTTTGTCTGATTTATATTCTTACTTCTTTTTCCTAGCTGACCATAAACATCATTTCCTCAAATAAGCCTTCTAGGACCTCCACTATATGCATATGGCACCCTATACAATAATTGTAGTTATTGTCTTTCATAATTTACCTAACTGATCTGCATAAACATGTGCTTCTAGATGGTAAGCACTCCGAGGACAGGAACCATGTCCTTCCTACTCTCTCTTACATTAACTAGGGCAAACAGTGCCTGGCAAACAGTCTGTACTTAACAGAGTTGTTAAGTGAACTGAACTGCAAGAAGTCTAGGCTGATGTAAATTTTATGTGGAAATAGGCAGAGTATATATAAATAAAGAGATGAAGTCTAGGTACCATTCCTTATTCTAACCTTCTAAGGTTCTTGGATTATCTAGCATATGAGTCAAACCAAAGCAAGAGGGAGAAAAACTAGAACCATAAAGTGACACAGCATATGAAGAATGTATCTAGTTTTTCTGACCGCATCACAGATGCCTTGAGCATGCACTATTACATTAAGAGATGGCTATTGTTTTTCAGGGAGTACAATCCATTCCTCAGCAGTTTGCTCATACACAGAAGAAGCAATCAGTTACCTCTGGATAAGTAACAGCATTTCAAAGTAGTAATTCCCTTTCACATTCATTTTGCTCCACTGAATAACACAATAGAACTCAGCTCTAGCTTAGAGCTGAAAGCCAACAGGACATGTCTGCTCCAGACTCAGAACTCACGGGGCAGAGTACATTTGGCAGTAATTAAGCAGATGGCTTTTCATACTTCTTTCAAAGGTTACTGGCATTAAAAATATGGCTGCACATAAATTCTTATTGAGAAGTCATGATTACCTGGACCAAGTTACTTCAAATCAGCCAAGTTATCCCTTCATAATTTAATGATTTTCTCCAAATGAGTATGACTTTAATGGCCTTTAAATTCTATATTAATTTTTTTAAACTTCACAAAATAGAACACTACAATTACTCTCAATGGAGAGAAAAAAGTGCTTTAAAAAGTTATAGTTCATAATCCTTTATAATCCACTTACCAGGGAGTGTTCACACACCTCCACGTCAAGTAAGCAAAGACCTGACAATTTTCAAGAGAAATGAGTAGGAAGAGGGAAGCCAAAGGACAGAAGGCATTCACACTTCAAACAAGCAGTCTGCTTGAATGACTTCTGGGGACCCTTTGGCCCTTCCTCTCCTGTGATTCTCACAAGGAATAAAATCTATTTGCTTTATAATTTACCTTTCCTTTCCAATATAATTAATGTAAGTTTCTTAGGCCCAGGCGCCCCATACAAGACACAATCAGAAATTGTAATTGCTTATTGGTATTTTCATAATTATCGTCAACAGCTGTTGAGAGAGATAATGGAGTGCTACCATGGGTAAGAGTGAGAATACTTTTCCAGAGTACAGAACCCTGTATGTATATGTCTGTATCACTGTATTTTTCATGCTCTATTAAAATTACCTGTGCTGTCCTCTCTCCCCCTTGAAGCCCAGGGATGGGATCTTATCTTTTTGCATCCCTCCAGCTTGTAGGAGGTAGGGTACTGTCAGAGTACCCCTGTCAGAGTACTACAGAGTAGTACTGTACAGAGTACTGTCAGAGTACTACCTGACAGAGTAGGGGTACTATAAATGTCTGCTGAATAAAGGTGATCTTAACAAGGCAGGAAAAAGACATGGAAACAGAACTATCAAAACTATGCTCTGTGTTTTTCAAGCTGCTTCAATGAGTTAATGATAGTGTACTGCCTCTAGCCAGGCAGCTATCAGTACTTGCCACATTAAGGGACATTTCTTGGGGTGTCTGCTTAGCTCACAGTAATTCCCTGAATGGGCCAGAGTAGCAATGTCTACATTGTGTAACAATGACAGCCTGCCTCAACCTTAGTGGATGGAGGGAGAAAACACCTGTCTCAGTTTGGGCCAATCAGATTCTTTCCCAGGGACTCAAAATTTAGGACAGACACAGAGATCAGGAATGTAGTAGCTAGATAATAACAAATGAAGTGCTCAAGGCTAAAGAGGGGGTTGAGAAATCGCTTCTGACATCTCTGGAGTCATCCTGATTTCTTCAGTCTTAGATGTAAAGCCCCTTCTTAAGAGCCCCTGAGACATCCTTGTATTCTTACAATGCATTCTCCTTTATTTTTTTAAATGTTTATTTATTTTGAGAGAGAGGGGCGGGGTGGGGGAGAGGGATAGGATGGGGCAGAGAGAGAGAGGGAGAGAGAGAATCCCAAGCAGGCTCTGTGTTCTCAGCATAGAGCCTGATGCGGGCTTCAATCTCATGAATCATGAAATCATGCACTGAGCTGAAGCCAGGAGCCTGATGCTTAACCATCAGAGCCACCCAGGCGCCCCCTGCATTCTCATTTAATTTAAGCTGGCTAGCATTTACTAATTAGAATAAGCTCAATAATATAGCTCTGATTTTGTTTTGAATACATTTAGTTTATTTAAAAAATATTTATACTAGGGGTACAAAGATGAAGAAAACATCATTTCTGCCTTTGATGGTATTAGCCATTAGTAAGGAATATAGCTATATAAGTAAATGGACAATTACAATAATGGAATTAACTATACAGGGACTGTCAATTTAGTTTTTCTCCAGTTTCTAGGAACACCCCCAATTCAGTTTCTTGTAGAATATACTTATATTTATCACAAATATACATTCTAGATCCTGATTTCAATTCTATTTTGTTACAAAAATACACTCATTGGCAGTTGTGTTAGTTAGAATTCTAAAAAGGTTCCCAAGATTGTTGCCGCCTGGTTTACATACTGCATAGGATCAATTTCACTTCCATGATTAAGTAATATTAAACAGCACAGCTGACTAGAATACAAAGAAAGATGATCAAGTGGAGCCTGACCCAATCATACTGGCCCTTTAAATCTGGAGATGTCACTCCCCAGAGCTCCCATGCCCTGATCTCCTAAATTCGTAGTTATTTCACAGGAATCCTAAAGAATGCTTGGAGGTCAGAGACAGGAAGTCAGAGATTAGAAATATCATTGCTGGAGGATGCCTGGGTGGCTCAGTAGGTTAAGTTAAGCATTGGACTCTTGGTTTTGGCTCATGTCATGGTCTCAGTTTCATGGGGTCGAGCCCTGCATCTGGCTCCACGCTAAGAATGTGGAGCCTGCTTGGGATTCTCTGTCTCTCTCTCTCTCTCTCTCTCTCTCTCTCTCTCTCTCTGTGT